AAAGGAAAAAGGGAGAAAACGATTGGAGGAGAGGGAGATAATGGAGAACAATTACTGTAATAATGGAGGAGAACAGTTACTATAATAATGGAGGAGAGGGAGATAATGGAGGAGATGTTGGAATAATGGAGGAGATGGAGAAGTTATTTGCTACAATATACTAGGTAAGAGGGGAATTTATGTGATAATAAAGAGTATTTATGTGATATTATAAAGGTAATAAATATAATTATAGGATTATATACGGAGTTATATATTCGACTGTTGCTGCGAAAAATTAAAAATTATTATGAATTCCAATAAATAGTCGACTCTATGAATGTAAATTCAACTCTTATAAGCAATAGAATTGACTCTATTATACAAAGAGTCGACTCCCAAATTCTAGAGAGCAGCAAAACATTTTGGTGCAGTACAGAGTCGACTCTATAATACAAAGAGTCGACTCCCAAATCCCAGAGAGTAGCGAAACATTTTGGTGCAGAACAGAGTCGACTCTTTGACAAAGAGTCGACTCTTAATGCTGCAGGGAAATAAACTCTTCTCCATTCAAAGTCGACTATTATTTTCTAGAGTCAACTGTTTTGCTTGTAAGAGTTGACTCTCAAGTTATAGAGTCGACCCTTTGGCGCGAGATTTGATTAAAACCGCTCTAGTTCCAGATTTCCCCATTTTCCCTCTCTCCTATTCAACTCTCTGAGAAACCTAACACTCAACCCAGCCAAAATCTGCCCAAATTTCACCAAAATAACTCACCCAAACACAAACCCACACCATTTTCGATCCATTTCTCTAAGATTCGTGCATTGTCATACAAAATGGTGAGGACTAAAAGAGTTGTAAAGAAGCAAGGGGGCAGGCGGCAAGCACGTCTGGAAGGCGTCGAAGGGCTGAACAAAGTCCTGAGGACAGTGGTGAAAGCACAGACATGAAGCAGGTATTTCAACCCGATCACCCTCGAAACTTTGTATCTAGAAATGCTATAGAAGCCTATAATAAATTAGGAAATAGGAAAGTCGTTTATGGTTTTAGAGTAGTTTTAGATGATATATGCAAAGGGGGGCTACATTTTAGAGAAATGTTAGATGCAATGAGGTGGACTGAATTAGTAAGTAAGGTGAAGGTTTACCCGCAGTTGATAAAGATTTTTTATGCAAATTTGAGTGATTTGGAGGATGGAGGGTATAGAACAACAGTTTTTAAGAAAACTTTTGAATTTGATGCTGAAACTATAAATGATGTTTTACATTTGCCAAATGAGGGAGCCATCGAATTGAATGCATTTACAGAGGAATCGGCAAAGAAATTTATCATGGGGGATGAGTACAATGAGGGACAAACATTAACCATTCACCACTTGAATTTGGAGAATCGATTAATGTTTTAGATTTACAATCACATAATTTTGCCAAGGCAAGGTTTTTTTGGGAAATTTAGTGGTCCGGATTGTGTGTGGTTTAATAAGAGGCGGATCAATTTAAGACACCATATTATGAGACAAATGGTGTATTATAGGGGTAGATCGACACTCACACTAGTGTATGGCACTCTTATCACATTACTTAAGGAAAATGTGGGTGTTGATTTGCGTGGTATGGAGTCCCGAGACCTACACAGTCACGAGCTTTTGAATGAGAGTTCACTGAACAAAATGGGGTATGTATTCAGTGCAAGAACAAATTCTTTGGAAATGAAGCAGAAAAGGAGAAGCGGAGGATAAGATGATGAAGGTGAGGGGTTTGATGATGAAGAACATGCCGAAGAAACTGAAGAAGCAGGTCCTTCACAAGCTACTTCATCTCGAGTTCCTCAAAGATTAACCACATAAAGAGAAATGCAGCTCATTCTCGAGAGACTTGCACGGATTGAATCAAAGCTCGATAATCACATTTGCGACTGTCAGATGGCAGCACCTATAGGTCCTCGAGAGACAAGAAGAGATCCGTCTACTGCTAGCACATCCTCCAAACAACAACCCACTGATCCCTTTTCAAATCCGAAAGCATAAATCCTCCCGTTGCAATTGTTGATGGCTGTTAAATTATCATTTTAATGTTTGAACACTCTTTTAAAGGTTTTCTTAATGTATTGACTTTTTATATTTTTGAATATGTACATATAATGTTGACATTAGATGCAGTTTAATTGAATGCAGATTTTAACATCAATGAGCATAGCATAATTGTGATGATTTGTATTGGTTGATTATGTTCTTGATGTGCTTCCATTGATGGCAAGCAAGTTGGTAGTTCATAGTGTGCTTGAATGGCAATTTGTGGATGTGGTTTTAAAGTTTGATGTGCATGTGGTTTTAAAGTTTGATGTGCATGTGGTTTTAATGATTCAATAATATTTTTTACATAGTTGATGTTCATGAAAAAAAAGGGAAATGCAAACAGCAAATTCTGAAAAATTAAACAGTAGAAATGGATTGAAGAGTCGAATATAGGCAATATTCGACTCTTCAGGCATATGAGAGTCGACTATCAAGCAACAAGAGTTGACTCCCATTTTCCAGTAAGCAACAAATGCATTTTGCTGCAGCCTATAGTCGACTCTCCATTATAGAGTCGACTCTTTTGGATTCAAAGTCGACTCTATAATATGAAGAGTCGACTACCAAATTCCAGTAGACTGGAAGTTAATTTGCTGCAGCATATAGTCGACTTTTTATCATAGAGTCGACTCTTTTGGATTCAGAGTCGACCCTATCATATGAAGAGTCAACTACCAAATTTCAGTATGCTGAAATTTAATTTGCTGCAGCTTATAGTCGACTCTCCATCATAGAGTCGACTCTAAATCAAAAGAATCGACTCTACGATGTGGAGAGTCGAATACCAAATTTCAGTAAGTGCCATATTTTTTTCCCTTCAAATAGTCGACTCTCTATGTTGAGAGTCGATTCTTAGTCCTTTACAGTCGACTCTACTATGTAAGATTGGACTCTTGAACTATGTGGTTCACAAAGTAAAAGAATTTCATGCAAATTTTTAATAATTAATGTGAGAAATACTTAGAAATCATTAATAAATGTTGTAATGTCAAAATATATAAACTAATCACAAGAAAACAAGAGAAATTGGAAAAAAATTGAAAAAAAAATTGAAGAACATAAGTAAGATAATTATATTATAGTTCTTGGATGGATCGTAATTTTTGAACAGCAGCATCCCAATACTTTTTTTCAAATGTAAAACGCCTACCATTACCAAAAATCTTTATAATAGTTTCGAAGGACTCAGTAGGGGTTTTGGGTGGATTTGACAAAGATGGTGATCGATAACGATTTAAGCAAATTTTTGCAATATGACCTTCACGGTTACACAGTTGACAAGTTACAACATATCGGTGCGAGCAAACTGTAGCTAAATGTCCAGGAGTATCACATATTTGACAAACAGAGTAGTTTACGGTATTAGGCAATGGAATATGTTGGTCAGTTGATATATTATTCTTTGCTTTTTTCAACTTCCTTTTGGAAGGACTTTCAAATGGGCAATTCTATAATGATTTAGGAGTATCCTCAACGATTCCTGTATAAAATAATATAAAGTTAAGTAATATGATAATAAAAGGGGTGCACAAACGGGAAATGAGAAATAATGGAAGGGAAAAAAAATTATACCATTATATTGGCTGTCAAAATAATCTTGACTTTCCAATTAATTGTCAAAATAATCTTGACTTTCCAATTGATTATCAAAATATTTTTGACTCTCCATTAAGCAACAGAAAAATAGAGTTTTGAAATTTATAAAAATTATTACTTTTAAATTATAATATAAAAATAATTATGTGAGGATAAAAAAAATAAATTACAAGAGTAAAGGAGAAATAAGAAGAAAATGAGTGTGAGAGGTGTGTATATATTGTCAATGAAAAAGTGTATATATAATGGGTGAGCTACCGATCAAAGGATTTTCAGCAACATGGTTATTGTTGCTGAAATTCACTTTCAGCAACAAGAATCATGTTTCTGAGAGTGGTATGGATGATATGGTGACCAGAAAATGTTACCAACGAGGGGCATGTTGCTGAAATTCACTTTCAGCAACATACCCTTGTTGCTGAAAGTGTAAGTGGTGGTACTCCCCCTTCTTACAGGCGACTTGTATATATATATATATATATATATATAGATTTGGCCAACCACCGATCAAAGAATATCAGCAACATGTTCCTTGTTGCTGATGTTAAGTTGATAAAAAGATAAGAATAACAGCAATAAGATATATGTTGCTAATACTTAAGGTTTTCAGCAACATAGCTCTTGTTGCTGAAATTCACTTTCAGCAACAAGGAACATGTTGCTGAAAAGTATAGCTCAATTTAAATGGAAGGGGACTCATCGGAAAATATCAACAACATGGAGTATGTTGCTAAAAGTTATTTTCAGTAACAAGAAGGACATTGCTGAAAGCGGGGATGCTTTTGCAAGATGAGGTGTACGGAATAACTTTCAGCAACAAGCTTTATGTTGCTTATACATATTTTCAGCAGCAAACCAAACCATGTTGCTGATATATTGTTGCTAAAAGCCAAAATTTTAATAGTGTAACTAATTAGGCAGAGAAATTAATTGATGTTAATGACTACATTGTCCAAAGACAACATGGTAGCTTGGTAATATGATGAATTCAAAGAAAGTACAATACTGTATATATAATAGTTAGTGTAATCTTTAGGCAACATTAGACAAAAGTAAGACTACCCAAAAGTTGTAGAGCGGCAATGTTTAAAGAAAAGCTCCAACACGATGAATTTTGAACAATATAAGCTTGCCTGGCGGCTGGGGGTGATTGATTTTCTTTGATCCATTGGTAGCACCACAGCGATCCTCTCCTATTTCACTCCCCCATACAAATCTCCCATTGTCTCCTAGAAATGCTGTACTTAATCTCCAACACATTACGCCAAAGTTCCTTTTCCCCTTTTGCAATCCTCCCCCACCATTTGGTATATTAAACAATCTCAAATCCATTAACTCATTCATATCAAGAAGTCATAACACTCATAATGCTTAAGAGTTACATTTCACCTTATAACTCACACTTAATTCAACAGATTAAGAATTACATTTTAAATTTAATCTTGTAACTCCCTCTCAATTTAAAAAATGATAATAATATTACAAACTACACCAACAAGAACAAACTTCACTAGTTCGAAATAATGGATTCAAATGGGTGCGTGCCTATTGTTTACTTTCAGCAACAGAGTGCCAGAGCTATTTATAAGCCAAAACTGAGATCAAAATATCAACAATTTATTAAAGAAAAAGTTTACTATTGAAGGTGTTGTTTGTGGGAATGATAGAGACAGATGATCATGTCTTGAATGGACATTTGGCTAATAGAGACATGACGGTCTTGGCTAAGATACATTGTTGGAATGATAGAGACATAATTGACTTGGCTAAGATTGTGATATGAAATTGAAAACAAGCTTCACCAATTCGAAATTAAGGGACTGAAATGGATATGTGCCTGTGGTTTAGTTTTAGTAACAAATGTCATGTTTAGTTGGTGGTATTAATTATTCTTATTTTTTGTCAAACTATAAAAATATGATAAACTTAAAAGTTAAAAATAACTACGGTTTATCATTAATAATTTTCTACTAAACTAAAAGATGAAAGAAAATATGTATTCATTCTATTATTAAGAAATAAGTATTACCTGATTCTTCGTTAAAGTAAAAGAAAAATTAGATATTAAAATTTAGCTACACCTAACTTCCTATGAGAATTTTTTAAATTTTAACTTGGTTTCATAATTTGACCAAATTAAAAATAGTCCTTACCACCACTCAAACAAGTCCAAAAGTGCCCTAACTATTTACAAGCCAAAAGAGAGATCAAAATATCGGTAATTTAAAGCAAAGGTTAAATTTGAACATGCTGTTAGTGGGTCTGGAAATGATCGTTAAACAGTTAAAGGTACTGAAAGTTAAAAAAGCCGTCCTTAACAACAAAGCCTTAAGATTACCACGTCTTGGCTTTAGTCATCTTGCACCATATATATTCGCATTGTGGGGATTCTCTTTCAATTATGAGGATTGCTAGCCCAAGTCAAACTAAACGGTAGTTCATGCTGGTCATGACTCAGCTAGCCACTCAGCTAGCCACAATCAAACTAACACTCCAAAGTCTCCATTCATTAATACAGCCACCACTCACTAGTCACTCTTCTTCACCTATTTAAATTTGTTGATTTTTGGCAATACTCTTCCCTTGTGCCAAAATTTCACCTTCAAATTTTCGGTATGACCTTCAAGCGTACAACTCTTTTATTTTTTTTATCAAACCCTATATTTGCATTTTATACTTTTTTTTTCTGCAATCAACACCCTAAAAAATGTCTACTTTCAGTCAACATTTTTCATAATTTAAAACTCGTAAAAAACCTAAAAAATTAATGGTCAAACTCCCTACATGTACCTTGATTTTGTTAGTAATTTAAAGTTTTTTATGAATTTCAAATTATAAATAATGTTAATTAGAAATGAAAATTATAAAAAGTATTCACCACATAAAAAATAATATACAGTATTAGTGTGATAGGCTCGGTCTAGCTTTTAATTCTTCTTGTTACGACCTGTATGATAGATTCAGTCTTTTCCATGTTCCTGCAAATTTGTGTTCAATAAATCTATGTTTTTCATTTTAAAAAATTAAAAAGTTCTTTTTGCTTCTTTTTTTTT